TAAGAAAATGATGATTTTAGATTAGAAGTTAAAAATGATGTAAAAATGACACATAAATGTCACATCTATGATCCTAGAGATATGATATAAAAATGATACATAAATAGATCATTTTTAGATGATCATAGTAGGATCATATTTAGATCATTTTTACAAATTATATCATATATACATCATTTTTATCTTATTTTATGAAATGATCTTAAAATGACTCAAATATGATATCATTTTAAGCTCGTATTGAAATCATTTTAGGATCATAATATGATCATTTTCACTTCATATCATAAATGAGCCATACATGTCTCATTTATGTCTCATTTCCTGCGACCTGGGACGTAATGCTAATGTTGTTCAACAACATGAATTTAAAATCTTTGTAAATTCTTATCAAAGGATGTTTGACTATTCATACAATTATTTATTGCTACTCCATGTTTGAATTCTGATAAATGTTTCGATCTGTACACATGTACACTCTCATTAAATTAGTAGAAATTAACGTTAATATGAATAAATTTGGTAATGTACGAAGTCTTGATTGTAATCGAAATTCATTCACCATGTAAACTATTAATATTGTACTCGATATTAAACTACTAAACATTAAGAATATTGATAGTACACAAGAGTGATCCAAAAATAACCGCACATAAGTAACGCAGAAACTGATTCTATTTAAATGTTAATATTTCTTCTTTCTTGTTCTTTATGATTTTGAGATTATAGATAGAATTTGTTAATGAAGATATCTGCCTATACTTTACTTTGTAGACATTCATCATTCACCGATTTGCTGCTGTTTTGTATTCTCAAATAAAGAAGTGTGAAATGTAAAAAAAGTGAAAATTTTCTAGCTTTTGATTTTTCACCATTATATCGATAATTTATTCTGCTCTAGAGTATGTGATAAGATACACAGTCGAGTTTTTATTCTACAAATAGGGTCAAGATAAGCTAGCCTAGCTTATCTTGACGCCTAATTTATCATTACGTTAACCTACAGCGTATTAGATTGAATTCGCCGATCAAAAACGATTATATATTTTTCGTTTTTGCGTTCATACTTTCCTGATACAGGAATCAGGACAGACGACATCCAAGATGGAAGTATATAGTCTTTTTCGCCGAAAATGGTGAGAGACTAAAGAATACTGCACTGGTTATTTTTCCTCAGTAGGCTTTTTCCTTCACTAGCTCATCTTGACCTGCAAATAGTACAAAAGATTTATAATTCGCTAGAAAATAATTCATTTTCTTGAGCTTTCTTTCTATATTTAGATAGCAATAATTTTCTATCAGACATAGTTTTCTAAGATATGTGCTGATATAAGATATATCGGGTATATATAATTTAGAAAATCGACACTACAGTAATGGAAAAATCTTTAGGATATATTTCAGGATCAGACGAAGAAACTGACCTACGTCTTATGAAGTCTTGTTGTAAGATAGGCTATAACAGTAGAATACACTGAAGATACCCTAAGAATCTTCACAAAATTCGACCATTTCCTATAGTATTTCTATAAAATCCTAATTCAAAGACAGTATTAGCAAAAGTTATATAAATAGTTTAAATATATTAAATACATATCTTCATTTCTGTTGTTATTTGCTGTTACTATCATGCACTCTTAAATAAAGTGGCAGAGTAGAGTAAACAAAAAAAAAACCGAAGCTTCATCCTTTTATAGTTATTATCCTACGGTTTTTGTAAATTTAGTATAAATCAAGCTGCTATTTTTGAACAAAGAACACTTGTTAGGTATATCCAATTTATTTTAAAAAAGCTGATGATTTGAATAATAGATCGATTCGGTGAAAAAAAGATTTTTCTGGAAAGAGAATTTTCAAGATTGTACTGTTATTTGAGCTAGTACTGTTTCATTCATACTGCCACCTCTAGATGACAGCCAGAAACTAATATTATACTTTTGACCACTAGCTATTGGAAATATTTGAGAAAGATAGTCATCATTGTCCATTGCGCCATCTCGATAACAATATGAACCAGTGTGTGAACTGTAGTTTGTAATTTGTCCCCCAGTTAGCTCCCCGCTTGGGTTACAATATGTCCGTGCTGAAAAGGATGCTCCTGACTCGAAACCACCATCTTTTAACAGTTCTTTACCATCTGAAACTGATTTTACTGAAATATCATCCAAATACCAAAAACTTGGATAGTTTATTAGACTAAATGTCAATATAGCTGATGTACGTCCAGCATGGGTTGCGTAAATAAAAGAATAAAATGTATAATTCTAACGTCCTGTAAGATTAAGTGCAATTAATACTGTTGATGATAAAGAGCTGTTAATACAAGTGTTCGTTGCTGTGGTTGTTGAACGTAGTTGTTGTTCTGAGAGCAAAAATGAAAGAAGAAGAAAACCGTTAATGTAAAGTACGCTTTACGGAAATAAGATAATATACTTGTCGTTGACGTTGAAACTGACAAGAAGAAAAAGAAACTGAACACTGAGGAATCGAACTAAAATAGCAATGGCTTTACTTGTACTTGATGCAATTGTTGTTGTAGTAACTGAAACTACATGCAAAACGAACAGAGTTTTCATTTTTTTGAATATTTTCACTAGTGTGAAGCCTTACACGTAGAAGTGATTCTTGTTCTTGTTCTTGACGTGTTCATCGCTTAAATTATAAAAAATAAAACTGCAATTTGGTCAAAATCGGATAGTGCTAAAGGTGCATACTTGTGATAGCTTCCGAGGAACTTGTCGTTGATGTTGAAACTAACGAAAAGAAAAAGAAACCTAACACTGAGGAATACAACTACTATTGTCGAGACTTGACAGCATCTTTTAATAAGCAAAACAATTTTGAAATTATTTGTTAAAAATTGATTTTCTGAGGAGTGTCTAGAAAACCATTTCATAACCTAGCAATATATTAGCTTTTCTACATGTGTACATAGCCCAAAGTATCCTCTTCAGAACGGAAAGCGGTCTTTCAGTTATGCATGGTTTAGGCGTGACATCCGATTTCTCGAGAGCCCCATGATCGACATGTCTTAGATGTGGTAATCTCGAAAATAAATGGAAACAAATCGGTCACCGACCGCGTTGAATCTTGTGGCAACGTTTGTTTCTCGAAAGCCTATAGCGTTTTGCGTTTAACAGACATTCAGAAACAAGTCACCGACACTGCGTTTTGGTGACGATAGTAGAATAGAGATGGATGTAGTTGTAGTTAATGCAGTTGTTGTTGTATTGACTGAAACTACATGCAAAATTGATAGATATTCTTTTTTTTGAATGTTCTCACTAATATAAAATCTTACAAGTAGAAGTGGTCCTTGTTCTTGATGTGGTCATCGCTTAAATGATAAAAGATAAATCTGCAATTTGGTCAAAATCAGATAGTGATAGAGGTGTATACTTGTGGTAACTTCCGAGGAACTTGTCGTTGATATTGAAACTAACAGAAAGAAAAAAGAAACCTAACACTGGGGAATACAACTATTATATCTGTAATAACGCTTGTACTCGTTCTTGTGCCTATTGTTAAATTTTCATTGGTTTCTGGTCGAAGTCCGATACCCAGACCTAAAGCAAGTGCTAAACCAATCAGTAATAATGCACTAATAATACTAATTGGGATAATTAACGGTGAAAATGTTTGTTGTTGTGTTTTCATTGGGTAATACAATTTGTTCTCTTTCAAACTAAAGTACTTATAAGCATTGGATATAAGCAATATTATTATAAGCAATAATAAAAAACTATACACAAACTAATTTGGATGGTAAAGAGGTAAAAAATTACCTTGGTTTCTTTCGTAATTGAAAGGAAATTACATGAAAAGAAATAGAAAAAACCCATGTGCTGCTTTTGTTGCCGAATCTGACTGCATTTAAGTTTTTGTCTCATGTTCCCAAGTTATTCTTATTATATTATTAGTTCTTTTATGTTTGTTTATAACAGTGTTGTAATTAACCAACGGCTAGAATGGACTTTTTACATTATCATACGTGTATGAAGGTATATGTTAGAGCTAGGTGTGTGAACAGAGTGCCAATATATCAACAGTATTAGCTTTTAGGAGTTTATCCACAATAAACGATGATGGCATAACAATGAATAAAACAATACGAATAAAGAAATATGAGTGAATAAACTGTAATAGAAAAACTGACAAAAATGAGCAGCATACGATCTGTTGCATAAGACAGGCAGAACATTCAAGAAACGACGAGAAAAACTGTACAAAATAATAGAAGAAAAAATACCAAAAAAGGAATGAAGAATTGCCATGAGAATTAGGATTCATTCTCACAGTATACTAGAACTACTTTTGCATAGTAGACAAATTAAACGATACTTTTAATTAGAGGCCGAACACACTCATTCCTTTATTGGACTCATTATATCTAGTCGTCTACATACATTCCTGTTTCTCTCTTCATCACCACGATATGATACGATCAAAAATTTATTTTGATCATCAAAAAAAAGACGGAGTAAATAAAAAAATGATGAGAAAAACATGAACTTTATTTGAGCAAACTTGAAAAAGAGCAGACTATTTATATTTTCGTACAGATGCAAATACTATACACAAGGTAAGTTATCTATTATAGTTGTTGATTTCCTTATACTTGTAAGAGCCATTGCACGTAAGCCACGGCCTATTACAGCGGAGCAGCCTTCAATCGATGTTCTTAAAACTTTTCCAAAGTAGGAGGCTCGTTTAGACCAAATATTTTAATGAATTTTGGTAAAAGACGCAAATCAAAAAGTTGTACCGTCGCGGAGATATTGATTATTATTTATTCGTTATTTGTAATAGATGGCGCATTAAGAGCCCAAATCCAGAAAACCCTGAATTTTGCTAAAGCACCTATTTGAAACAAAGTCGACCGTGAGACTTTCAACCATATTATCAAATAGATTATATGTCGAAGTATATTTGGCAAAAGTTTGACGGTCTCCGGTGCTTTCGTTTTCAATACAGAAGCCTTGAAAGGTGCAATTTTGCCAAAAAATCACCATTTTGGGCGATTTTGCGAAATGATTTTCTCCATGGAAACGGGGCAGTTCTGAAGCCACCTGTTATACTCCTGATGTACACCAAGTGTACTATCATATTTTCTTCACCCTCATTTAAGCAAAATATACTCACTATTGTCTTAGATGAGTCAAGAATGTCGTGCGACTTTTTACAGTTGTGGTGGGATGTCCAAAACTATATATAAGTCTAATTTTCATCTGTGTATTTTTTTTAAGTTTCTTCTTAATCAGTTTCGTATGTATTGTACATTATACTTTGTAGAGAAATAAAAATGTGAGAGTTATGCTGAAGAATTGGTGATATATTTTGCATAACCTACAGTAATTTCATAGTAAAGACAGTGAACATTTGCTGGACAATACAAAATTTATTCTTTTCTCACTCTCTTGCTTGACGTCATTTTTCTTTCTTCACATACTTTGTACACTGTTTATAATTTCGAATCACTCTGTAGTTGGGAATGATTGGCTACTGTAGACACACAAATATATTACAACAGAAGGAATACAACAAACAAGACAGTTATAGTTTAGCTTCATACTCATCATCATCTTTAGAATTAGAATCATCATCACAACCCTGAATTTTGCTGTAGCACCTACTTGAAACAAAGTTGACCGTAAGACTTTCAACCATATTATCAAATAGATTATATGTCAAAGTATATTTGGTAAAACTCTGACGGTTCCGGGGCTTTCGTTTCAATACAGACATCTTGAAAGTTGCAATTTTACTAAAAAAATGACCATTTTGGGCGATCTTGAGCAATGATTTTCTCCATGGAAACGGGGCAGTTCTGAAGCCTCCTAGTATACTGCTGAAGTATACCAAGCGTAGTATCATAGTCAATCCTGGGATTTGTGGGTTTCTCTAAAATAGCTTCGGGAGCTCGGTGGGGGGGACACCGAGTTCCAGAGGCTTGCTTCAATCAGTATATTTCTCCTATAGTATATTAAAATTTCAATAAAAACCAGTTTGATATGCAACTTTTCACAAGGAATTGAATGGTAATACAACAACAACTTAATCTTCATTATTAACACGGTCCTATGTGCGAATTCCACCAAGAGTACTTCTAATAGGTTCCCTTCTGATGGATTTTCATATGCCGAGCAGTGATTTTTGAATAACTCAAGAACGAAAGGCAATAGAAACTTCTCGTTTTTGCGATTCGATACCCAAGACTTTAAACTATGTCTTTGTAACTAAAACAAAGTTGAAAGTATTTCTCAATGACCGATTTTCTCTTTCTCTTTCGCGGTTACCGAAAGTGCATTGTCGATCGTGCTAAATCTCTTCTCATGGCAGCGTGTATTTTATTTTGCTGTATGTTAGTCTTCCTCCTCCGGT